ACAGCACATGGCAGTGCAGCGATATGCTTCCCCTGCCTAGCCCCCCAGGCAGCTATGATATCATACATGGATACAAGGAGAGACAACAGGAAAGTCAGCTACAAATTAGCACACACAGATGCTGGACTCCGTCCCATTAACCTTCAAACAACAGTGATGTTTCATCTACTATCATACTGAAAAGGTTGGCTTCTCAAGCCCACTCTCCTGTTACAGGATGAACTCTAGTACCTCAAGTAACAGTGTAGTGGAAATGCTAAGTCACAGCCTGAAGCAGTGATTGAGCACCTGGTGGGAAGGCAGGGCCAAGCCAGGGGAGCTCAGGTGTATGCAATGTACCTGAGTGATCAGAAGGGGTAGAGCCAGGATCCACCCCTTCCCATAGCTCATTTAAAGGTTGGCAGTGAAGGTGAGGGCTACCTTCCTGGAGATCCCTGTGTACCTGAGGTCTTTTGAAGGTAAGCAGCTTATTTCCTTTATTTCTGTACCCACAGCCATTGCATTTGAGCAAACCCTCACTTGCTGCAGCCTAGGACCTTGCTACTCTGCTGTTATTGCTGTGCTTTCTATCATGTTACAAATACCAAGCACTCTGATCTCTCATCCCTACGCTAATAAAGCCAGATGCAGCAACAGGACATGGGTACTACTGCAACTGCAGAAAAACAGAGCTAGAATCATGCCAGGCTAACTGGGTAGCAAAAAGTCCAAATGACTAAATGGATCATGTGCAGACTAATTTCATGTATTCAAACCTATTTTATATGTGTTCCTCTTCCTCTTTGAGCAGACAGTGAACGGAGCTGTACGCAAACCACAGAATTGCTGAAGACAATGCAAATGATGCAAAGCATCAAAACAGCCTCAGCACTGGAGCAAGCCCTGGCTGCTTACACGATGGCAGTCTGCTGGGCTAACAGACCACTAATGAAATTAGCTCACTTCTTAACAAGCCTCCAAACAAGACCTCTAGTTGCTTTGGACAAAAGTACTTGCAATGATCTGAGATGACTCTCCTTCAGAGACTGTTCACCAGAGTCTAGTTTCCTCAAGGGAAGTGTTGGCTTTGATTTAGGCCAGGCTGGCAGGACAGCATGCATCCCATCTACCTTGTGCTGCAGCAACATCAGCAATGCCTTTTCTCACAGATCTCTCCTTTCACTCCTTGCTTCTTTCTGCAGAATGGGAGCAGAGCACAACCCCCTGGTGTGTGCTAGTTTCTCTCATCTCACTCCTGCTCTCTGGCTTTTTACATCTCACAGCCTTCTCCCATGAACAGGACATCTTCCTCTTCTCTTCAAAGGTTGCAGCTCCTCCCTGTCTGCTGATTTCTAAGGATGCTAAATAATCAGATGTGCAGGCCTCTTCCCAGAGAACTGTAGATGCAGCAGTCTCTTTTATGCATTTGTCACGTTACTGCTCCTACATGCATCTAAATTCGGCTCCATCAGCTCTCAAATTTAACTTCAATGTGAGCAGCTTGATTTGTCATGGCTTTAGCAATGCAAGAAGAAGACTCCACTTACAGTTGTGCCCAGTGCTATGTATTACATTGCCAGAGCACCCTCACCCAGCACGCTCTCCCCTTCTAGCAACTGTAATGCATCAATCCACCCAGCAGGAGGGTCAGCATTGCTCCCAGTAAAGAAGAGTTTAGTGAGCTGAAGCAACCAGCCCAGTCAACAGCAGAGATGAAGTCAGGACTCCTGGGTCTACTGCATTTACCCACAAAGTCATCTGTCAGCATCAGACTTGGAGAGCTGGATGAGCTGTTCAAAGAGCTCACTTCCACCTCAGATGCCCAGGTGGGTTGTACATTAATGCAGGTATACCTCAGCCAGCATAGAAAAACCAGGGTGTTTTGCTGCACATGCTGTAGAATTGTATTCTGGCAGCAAGAAGTTGATAACTGAATTTTTATTTTTTACTGAGCTGGTTGTTAAATAGTGCTGGTTCCGTGTTAAGGAGAGATTGACAAGCAGGTGGCAACACAGAACAGATCATCTCAAGGCATTTGCCTTCAGATATCTATAATTATAAATCAACTATTACCAGCTTTGCTTTATTGCCACAGTAAATAATTAACTGCAAAAGCAGACTCCTCTTGGCCCCCTTCTCCCCAATCAATCTGGCTTCAGGACTACGTGCTGCCAGGACTGCTCACTATAGCAGTGCACTCAAAGCATTTCACATGACAGAGGAACGGTGTGACTTCGTTCATTTCAGTGGAGACCTTTCCTTCCTAGTACAAGGGGGTATTATCATGTAATTCCTGTACTTACAGCAGAAAAGTATAACATATTTCAATTAGAAGGCATATCAGTTGCATGAAAATATAAAAACAGGTCTGCCATTTGATGCTGGTCATTCTCTTAGAATACAAAGACAGTAGATTATTCAGTCAAAATGGAAATTGAAAAGGCATAGGGAGAGCACAAGCAAAAATAAGTGCTGGAAGAACACTCCAGAATTGCAGAAACACCCTTCTCACAACAGCCAGAATGCCAGGCAGAGCAGCACTGCCGCTGAGCAAACATCTTCATACAGTTTCATACAGTCACTGGGTTTTATTCAGCTGGTGACAAAGAGTTAAGTCAAAATCTCCACCAAGGTGGAGTAAAACGGGAAGATGCCTAATTCAGACCCAAAAAGCTCAAAAAGAGAGTCTGAAAAATAAGGCAAATGAAAGGAAAACCATGATATAGTGAGAGATAACAGTGTAGGGAGAAAGAAAAAGGGGAAGGAAAAAAATAAGTGAAGCAGATACTGAGAATGGCGCAGGAAAAGAGAAACATGAAAATGAGAGAGACAGTGAGAGAAAGAGGGATGGGACAGAGCAGCTGACCAGCACTTAGCAAATGTCACTTGTTTAATCTCATCATATTTGTCAAATAATTTACTTGATTAATATTCCTTTTTGGACTCCAATGAGCCGTAGAGCTGATGAAATACCATTCTGTACAATTAAAAGCATTGAATACATTTGGTTCCTACTGATATTAATCTAATAATACATCTATCTGCTGGCTCTAAGTTTACACTTCAGCTTTGTATTTAACTTTTTTTTTTGATAATAAATTACAATTAGGTACAAGTGCTTGGGTACAACCGTGCTGCTCTTCTGGGCTGCCCAAAGCAGAGCAGCACAATGTGCTTTGAAAGATGGCAAGCTGGGGCCTGGCTAGCATTCCTGCCTCTTCCCTTCTTCATCAGGAACTCTACACAGGGCAGCCTTTGCCTCGGTTTTTACTGTGTTGATTTTTCCCTCACGTTCAACTTCAGAAGGCTCTTTTCACTCAGAAGCATGAAGTTTTGGGTCCTAATGACAAACACCGTTGACAGCCCAGCCTGGATGAGTGGGAAGACTGGAGGGCATCCATGCTGTCAGGCTGTCATTTCGGGAATTAGATTTTTGGAAGCTGCACTTCACCTCCCCAAAAGGTCAGGGAAGTTTGGTGGAAGACAGCGATGTGGCGAACGGTGCTTCAGTACTGCTGCTCTCCCAGGGAACACTTCCTGAGTGCCAGCAGACTGCTTCTCAGGAGAGCCAAGAAAAGAAATCAAGCTGCAGCTGTCAGCCTGCTTCTTCCTCTCTGGTTCAACAGCACTGTAAGAGTCCTCTCCCGACGGTTTGTGCATAGAACCTCTTTCAGAGCTTCACGGCATCCCCTTTCAAGCGACTCTCAGAGCCCACAAAAGAGCTTCCCTTAGGCCTTTGGTCTTGTTTCAACATGGCACGAGTGTGACCCCAAATGAGGTCATTATTGCTAATTACCAGATCACTTAACACAAACACAGAAGGTATGACCACACCAATGTTCACATGGAGATCCGGAGGCTGTGCTGACAGCACCCACCTGGCACAGCCCAGCAGTGACAGCAGCCAGCCTGCAGGCCCACCAGCAGGCTGAACTGGGAATTCCCTCAGCTCTGTTCCACCCTGCTGCTGAAACAGCACCGTTTGCACGCTGTTAATCAGACCGGGACTGCACCGGAGGAGTGGGCTGCAATGCCTGGCCACATGAAGGGGGGACTGATGGCTTCACAGCCGCAGCTCTGTCACAAGCACTGGGCAAACCACGTAAGCTTTCATTCTCCGGCTGCAAAACCAGAGCGCTTCAGGGCTCTGCAAGGATAAATACATCAGCAATTCTAACCAAAGCAGCGCCCGTATCCCCTCATCCCTGATGGCTCGGGCTGCAGCAGGAAGAGTGGCCTCAGCACGGCCCTGCGCTGGCACAAGCAGTCAGGGTGAGCGCATCCCTCCCTGCTCTCCCGCACAGCGCCGGTGTCCGAGGCGCGCAGTTCTGTGCGCGCTTGTGTCAGGCTCTGCAGAGGAGCGCAGCCTGCGGGAGCTTGCGCCTATCGGGCACCGCCGGGAGTAACTGCACGGAGCGACGGAGACAACTTCAGGTACGGAACAGCGCAGCTCTTCCCAACGCTCCAGCCGCCATCCGCCCTTCTCCAGGCGCCCCGCAGCTCGCGGCCCCCCTCGATTCCTCACCGGCTCTTTTGTCTACGGCCGACCGAAGCCCATCCCGCGCGGATGCGGGCGGGCCGAGCCTCCCTCCCGTCCCGCAGAGCCTCCTTCCCACCGGGCCGCCCGCGGGCTCCTCCCCGCACGGGTGCAGCCGCGCCGCAGCGTCCCTCGGAGGAAGGCAAGCGAAGGGAGGCGCCGGCGGCCTCGCAGCCGCACGCCCCGCGCTCCGCCACCTGCGGGCCGCCCCCGGCCCGGGCACCGCCCGCAGCGCGCCGCGAAGGCGGGGACGGCCCCGCGGTGGGGTGCGGGGGGGGCAGCGCGGGGCGGAGGGAGGCGGCGGCGGAGCCGCGCAGGTGCCCCCGCTCCCCGCGGCGCGCTGCCCGGGGCCGGGCCCACCCGCAGAGTGGCGGCGCGGAGGGGCGAGCAGGCGGGGCCGCCCGGTGCCCCGCGAACAGGTGGGCGTGCGGCTGCGGCCGCCCCGTGCCCCCCGCCCCGTCCCGTCCCGTCCCCGGTCACTCACCCGGGCGGGATGCGCGTCCTGCGGAGGGCGGCGGAAGTTTGCGGTGGAATAGCGCTGTTTTGCGTTTGGTTTGGGTTTGGGTTGTTGGTTTTTTTTTCCCTCCTCTCCGGGGGAAAAAAAAAACAAACTCGACCACCGAATCGAGCGATCCCCCCCCCGCCCCTCCACCGCCCGGGGCTTCCCGCCGCGCTCAGCCGTGCGTCGGACCGGCGGCGAGGTGAAGTTTCCACCGCGGTGGCGGAGGCTCCCCCGGCGTGCCGCGCCCGCCCCGCATTGGCACCGGGCGCCGGGGCGCTCCGTGCCGCCGCCGCCGCCCGGACAATGTGCGTGCGGGGGGAGCGCAGCGGAGCGGGAGCGCGCCCCGCCGGCGGCCGCGGCACACGCCCAGGCTGCCGGCCCCGCCCCGCCGCCACTCACGGCCGCCCGCCGGCCCTGATAGGCGGCCCCCGCCGCCGCCGCCCTCCGGGTGGGCTGCGCCGCCCGTCAATCGTCCGCCGCGGCCCGCCCACCCGCGGCCTGGCTGTGGGGCGGTGGCGCTGCGGCCGGCCGGCCTGTGGCGCTTGGGGCCTGTCGCCGACGCGCCGCCTGCGGGGGGCTCCGCGGGTGGGGCGCTCCGGCTGCCACGGGGCTCCCCTGAGCCTCCTCTCTCCTGACTGAACGCTCCCAGTTCCCTCGGCCGCTCCCCGTCGGACTTGTGCTCCTGACCCTTCTCAGTTTCGTTGCCCTTCTCTGGACACGCTCCGGCGCCTCGATGTCTTTCTTGTGGTGAGGGGCCCCGGACTGAACGCGGGGCTCGAGGTGCGGCCCCGCCAGTGCCGATCAGCACAGTGCTCCCGCTGGCCGCACTGTTGCTGATGCGTGCCCAAGCTTTGAGGCAGGACTGCAGAATATGGCTCCAAATAAAGTCTGCGCTCCTGGTACTGCAGAAACGCTGTTCGCTCTGATGCAATTCTCAACCACATCACCACTACTGATTGTTTCCATTAGAGAGGTATCTGCCAATCTGAAAATGAATCTAGAAGCCATTGTTCTAGATACTGCCGTTGACACAGTAAAAAGAAAGCTCATGCCCTGCAGAGCTCAGGGCTGGAACAGATGAAGCAAGCTGTGAGGACACCTGCCGAGAAGCCGTGCAGGTTTTTTCAGGTCTCACAGACTGTTGCAGCAGCAAAAACGAACCTGCTGGAGCACTTTCTATAAGCCGGAACACAAACAGACAGGTCCGAACAAAGAGGACGAAGCTTCAGCTTACCTTGAGAATGTTTGCTGGCTTCTAACAAGACCTCCTGCTTCGGAACAACCTCTCTGTTCTCCACAAAGCCAAGAAGAGCGGCTTGCAGAAACACGGCATCTCTCCCATGCAAGCCAGCAGCAGCAGCACGCACAAAGGTGATGGGTCTTTTCACAGGCAGGCACACGTACGCACGGCGCACCGCCTCTCTGCACTGCCTGTCTCATCTTGTCTTCACCCTTCTAGGGAGCAGGCAGGTACTGGAGCATACAGGCATCTTGCATTTTGCACCCTGCAAGCAAGCTTCTGTTTCTCAGTACCTAAGTGGCCCAGGACTGATCAGAGAGCAAAAGACCCAAATAGGTAGGATAATTGATGTGTGTAGTAGACGAAGCACTCAGAGAGCAGTGATGCACTGTCATAGGCTGCCCAGAGCAGCAGTGGATGCCCCGTTCCTGGAGGCGTTCAAGGGCAGGATGGATGGCACCTGATCTACTGAGTGACAGCCTTGCCTACAGCAGGGGGATTGGAATTGGGTGGACTGTAAGGTCCCTTACAACCTCATGCATTCTGTGATTCTATGAAAGCTATGGGTGAACCTCATGCTTCTTGGACTTCTCATTAGCCTACGAGTAGCAGGAGGCACCAGAAGAAGGGACTGAAGCTGCCTCTTGTTCATTCTTCAGTGCTGTGATCACATTAGGACATAAGATACCTGAGGACTACTTGTTGTTGGCAGGCTGCTGAAAGACAGTGGCAGAATCGTCTATTGGTGACTCATAACCACACATAGGGGTTGATGACATAAACTTGTGAGGACACAGAGAGTGATATATCTTAAGTATGCCTGACATTACCACCCCCCATCCCTTTTTTGATAAAAAGACAAAATGCTGGTATAAGGTGTTGCTGCAGACAGCATAGATCCATTGCTTTTGGCAAAGCTAGACAGATTTACACTTGCTGAGGATATAGCTCATTCTGTGCAGAAAAAATCATTCTTCCTGGTCACATACTTCTTTTTTTTTTTTTTTTTTTTTTTTTTTTCTACAGGGGAATACTTCTAGAAGACAGAACCCTCTTATTTAAGCACAGGAGCAATGCCACAGCAACAGCAGTGCAAATTGCACCACAGATCAGCTGGCAAGGTTGTTCATTCTGCTAACAAAACTCCCCCAGTTCATCCTTTGATATCTCCAGCAAACTCCTCTGCCCACCCACAGCTGCCCAGTGCAGCTCCTGTGCTCTACGGGAAACCTCAAGGCAGGTGCAGAGAAATATGTACCTCTCTAGAAATGCTGCAGTGGTACTAACTATTGCAAGTCTTTCTTGTCGGAAAAGGAACAGTAGTCTAACTCTGGGCCCACTGACACACAGTGCAATAAAAAGGAAATGGGAAGAGCATCACAAGATCTTACTGCCACACTAACGTTGTCAAAACCAAACCTGCAGTGGGGTTGAAAGCTGCTCTGTCAGTCCAATGCCTCAGTTTTAACTCATCATCTTCACCAAACTGTAGCATGCATGTAGGAGGCCATAACTCATGGACTTCCTTCTCCCATCTATAGTCATGTGACATTTTAAAACAGCAGTCTAAATTCAGCCCTGGAAAGATACGTTACTGATTTCTGTAAGTGCTGTGACCCCCCCAAAAAATTCCTTGACGTTGTCATTTCCTCTTCAATCTTTGCAAGAAGGAGGTTAGTGTGACATGAAAACATACAAACACAAGTTTGTAAAATTGAAACTCAAACAACTGAACTCACTCATCAGGTCAAGGCTATCCCCAGAAGTTTTTGAGATCTTAATCTTTTTTAGAGGTTTCTCTAGTAAGACCACGCAGGTCATTGCCAGCTTGAACTCAACTCTCTTTTGCCCTTAAAAAAAAAAAAATAAAGAAAGAAAGAAAGAAAAGAAAAAAAAAGAAAACTTCTTGTGATCATCAATATCACCAGCAAAGCAAACACCTGCACTTTCATAGCTTCACAGGGATATCTGAACACATCCAAATTTTGCTCTCAGCAAAAATATCTGCATGAAGGCCAGCTGAAGAGTATAAGTTCTCAGTAGGCAGAGGGCAGATGAGTGGTGTCAGGTTCCTTTTGTTGTTTTCCTGTGTCTTCTGTTCTTTTGCCATATCCACAATCTCACCTAGCTGTGTCCTAATTACACAGAGTACTTCCTGGTTCCTTCTGTGCCTTTTGTGCTGTCTCTACGTTCACGTAGTCTGTTGGTCTGTTTTTCTGGATGCGTTTTCTTTCTCTCTGTAATTTAAACTTTCTTGAAGCGTTCAGAAGGAAGATTGTATCAGTGTGCTCTCCATATCATTATCTCTGAGAGCATGCTGAGAAAAGCAGAGATTCTGACGTGCTTTCCCACAGCACCATATTCTTCATGATTATTTAATTTATTCCTTCTGCAGACGCACCAGGCTCAATAAGCCTTCAGGTACTTCTGAGCTGGGATGCTGTTCTTGCTCATCTCTTCCTGAGCTTCAGGGATAAGTAGTGTCAAGGCAGAAAGAAAACTGATACATGACAGAATTTTAAAATTTTGAGTTTTCTAGAGGGTGCAAATTGTTTCCTCTTAGAGCCTGATAGTGCAACACAAGTAACTTGCCATGGCAACCTGCTTATGAGACAGAAAAAAGTGAGCACCTCCAGGTGCTTTGTTACTGTAGCAAGGGAAGAGGCTGAGACTTTATCCTTTTTGGTCACCATTGAGCTGCACACCATCTAGATAACCTGTCAGTAGAAGTTTATGTTGTATTTGATGCAAGCTAGCTGATGTGTGAGCCTCTTTGATACTTGGATCAAAACTGAAGTGCGGTCAGAAGGAAAGAAGGAAGTGCTCAGAAGAATTGAAACAAAGCTGGATTCTCAGAAGCACAAGGCCTAATCCATATCCGCAACAAGCTGACGCAACTCTGCAGATGCCAGTAAGAGACAAACCGTTTTCTACAGAAATTAATTTGGCTTCCATTCTCTGGCAGTCTCTGTTCTTTTCCCAATTTCTTTCAAGAAAACTCAGCTCTGCAGATCTGGGAGTATTCTGGAGTTATCTGGGACAGAAGATGGCATAGGCTAGTGGAGTCTGTGTTCACATCTGTTCTCTTTACAGAGATGCTTTTGGGAAGGGCAGACTTCCTGGCAGCTTACTTGTATTAGTGAGAGAACTGAGAAAAGGTAAAGTGAAGTGGTTAAGGACAGCAAGAGGAAACCTTCCTAAGTGTCACTGTGCAAGGAGAACAAAACTCATCTCTGTTAGCTCAGAAAAGGACAATTGTGGAAGCTGCTATATGTGCAATCATTCCTAGAAGCCAGTGTGCTTAAGGTAGGCTCATTTGTTAAAAATTAACAGGCCTAGAATAAATACAAAATGTTAGCTTTACACCCGAACTGGAAAGGATACCTTCTGGAGGACAGTCTTCAGAAGTGAAAGAAAAACAGAAAGTTTCTTAATCCTTAGGCTACTGACGTGAGCTATAAGTAACATTGCTCCCATTGTGCAATGGAATAAATATGTGCTTTCCCTTTTTGCTTTAAAAAAACTCTATCCCAGTTAATGTTTAGCTTGTTGATATAGTATATCAACATATATCAATATATAAAGTATTTTGGTATAGCATAGTTGATATAATGGTGAAAAAGTGGTAAACAATGAGGAATGGCAACCAGCCTTTTGGGCTGAATTTACAGGTAAGACTGCTGTGGCTCCTGGACCATCTTTGTCTAACTTCCCAGTGAGGCTGTAGAGAAAATACTACTAGATCACAAGCCCCAGCAATATAATGGCTTGGAAAGCAGCCTCTGAGAGAAGCTCTTAATGTATCATATAAATCTATACAGGGATGCAAGGCTATAGCTTACTCCTGACAATGAATTGTTACACTGTGAGTGACTGTCTAGAGAAATACGATGGGGGAAATCGGAGTCTACTGCAGCATTAAGAAGCCATGAGGTAAATGGAAATCACTGATTACAAAAAAAAAAAAAAAAAAAGCATGCTAAAACTATCCTTCACTATAATTTACTATAATTTGTAATTTCTACAATGTCTTTTAGAGAATGGGAAAGGTATGTCAGTTTATCCTTACTACAT